ATGTAACGTAAAGTCGCATTGGCTTTTGAAACGAACGATGTTTTTAATGGTATGTCTAACACCAAGTTTCACAAACGTCCATTAAGGTTTAATGCAGACTGTTACAAATGTTACCGATTTGAAAATTTGTATCTGTAATGTCACTTCAAACCAGTGATTCCCTAAGTGGTCCAGGTGGACCCCCAGGGGTCCACGAGGGATTCAACGGAGGTCTACGTTGGGTTGGAACTCACCTGCGACGCCAATTTCCATAGTTAGATCTTCACATTTTGGACGATTTTTAGGAATATGATAAAAATATAGCAGCAGGGGATCCACCGAAACCAGTAAATTTTTTTAAATGGTCTACGAGAAAAAAATTTTTGGGAACCTCTGCTTTAAACTGAAGACAATTTTATTAGACGTCTGTGCAACTGGGTGTTAGACAATTCATTTCGTTTGACAGTCCCCAATAGCTTACAAAGATTTTTGTAATTATCAATTTGCTTAGACAATTCCGATTAACGATATCATTCATTCAAACATTTCAAAGAACGTAGCGAACGCAATCGCTACACATGTGAAAGCAAACACGTAGTAACCCGCAAAACCAAAATTGTTCTTTATAGCAGAAAAACTTTATTTTTTTTCGATAAATAATTCCTATAAACGTCCATGGTAACAAATTAGGTGTTCCTTAGTCAATTTATACGGATAGAAGATATTTTTTCTTGGAAAAATATAAAGATTTTCCATTCTAAATATCGACGCTGGAAAGCAAACACGTAGTAACCCGCAAAACCAAAATTGATCTTCAAAGCAGAAAAACTTTGATTTTTTTCGATAAATAATTCCTATAAACGTCCATGGTAACAAATAAGGTGTTCCTTAGTCAATTTATACAGAAATAAGTCATATTTCTTTGGAAAAATCTAAAGATTTTCTATTATAAATATCCATTTTGGTTTTGCAGGTTACTACGTGTTTGCTTTCCAGCGTCGTAATATAGTTGTAGCGTGAAGTTCGTAAATATCTTCCAAATGCCAAATTAAAATGAATTGCGATAGAATTTAAAGTTTATAGTATGTAAAAAATCAGATTTATCGTTCAATGTTCTAGCCACCGATTTTGTAATGCTTCTCAGAGGTATCACTTTTTTATACTAATATTGTAAAGACGAAAGATTTCTTCGTTTGTGTGTTTGTTTGCAACGAATATGCTCCAAAACTATTGGGCCGATTTTAAAAATAAAAAGCTACATCATTGCGGGTGACATAGGCTTTAATTTACGAGGGCGAAGTCGCATTAAAAAGCTAGTCTGTAAATAAATAGTAATCTAAATATTTATTATTTTAATGACAATTTAAAAGTCAATTGACCTTAAATTTTTCTAAACTAGTTGATCTAATATTTTGAAGAATATTTAATAAATAAATAAGTTCAAATACCCGACTACAACAGTTTTTGTTATGACCAGTGGCATACGACTACGCTGCCCTTTGGTCTTAGCTATTATAATATAGCTATAGCTATAAAATAAATATTTTGTTTCAAACTTTTTAGAGCGTGATTTAGCTGTAGTAAGGTTTAAGTTTATCAACTTTTTTTATTTAATAAATTTTTTGGGTGTTTTTAAGGAAAATCGCAAGGTAAAGCTATCAATACATAATTGAAATGTGCTGATTAAATTAAAGTGAATTATTGAATAATATATATATTTTTTAGTTTCTTACTTTATGCTCTCTAGAGGGCGCTGTTGCCAATTTAATGCAACGTCACATAGCTTAATGCACGCGGACAACTAAGACGCTTCTAATGACACCTCATTTGTCCAGTTACGATGTGTCGTTTCAAAGTTATAAGGAAACAGATGAAACATTCTTACATACATACCGGCCGAAATCATAACCCTATTTTCGTTTCGCCGTAGTCGGGTAAAAACAATCCTATAAATTGGAAAACCTATATAAGGTGTTTAAATATATATACTAAACAACTTTTACTATGGGAGCAACACTGAATTCACGAACAAAGTAATCAACTGTTTCATACAAAATTATAATACCTAAAATACAGGAACAGCTGTTTATTTTTTCTTGAATTCAGTGTTGCTCCCACTGTAAAAGTAAGTAACATGTATGCCACAAGTCATGGCACATAAAAGACCTTTCTATATATATTTTTTTAATTAAAATAAGTTATGGCACTGGTTTAATTATCGCAATGAGCAAATTGCGTGACATCAGTCCCGCTCATTCTAAATTCTGAATCATGAATACACACATAAGTTCAGAAGATTATCGTAGCAGGAATTCTGTTTTCCAGAGCTGCTACCTCTTAAACTTGATTGGCTAGGCGATTTTTACTATGGCTGCAATGCTAGAGCATTCCTTCAGGGAATATGAAATCGGATATGACACACAACTCGGCGGTTCTAGTGCTGATTTGTGGTTATTAACGACTGCAGATGCAGCCGAGACCAACTGCTTATCGTTCCTGGGGCACGGAGGAGCTCGAGTAAATAAATTTTCGGTCACCCATCCTATGGTCGGCCATCGTGGAAGTTGCTTAACAACCGTATAGCAGACCGAGCGCCTTAACCACAGCTCCTTGTCATATTTATAGTGATGATTTTCTTGGTCCCTGTTAGATGTTTTCGGTCAATGTTAACCTTTGACCTCGCGGTCACAGCCGACCGCTCGATGCAGCACCGTTTTTATGGCTGCATTGGCACTAGCGTTAGCCGGGTGGTGTACCGGGCGGGAAAGAGAAAAACAAAAATTTTAAAATCGGCTAAGAGAGAGTCTGGTTCAGCCACGAATGGTTCTGTATCATTATTCAGTGGTAGGAATGGGTAGTTTTTGTTAGCCTAAACTTTGGAGAATAGAGACTTTTTTTAGGTAAAATTATATTAATATTCTTAGATGAAACAACTGTTAAACGGTTTCATCGCGTTGGTATTTAGTTTTATTGACGTTTCGGGCCCTTTTCAGGATCCGTATTCACATAAGAACAATAGTGTTATGTGAACACGGAACCTGTAAAGGGCCCGCAATTTCGCCCGTATAAATTGTAGTAGTCTGTCCGCGTATAATGTAGCTTACCGTAGGTAAAATAATTTTGATCGCTCCAGTACAGTTTCGAAGCCTAGTCAATGAGGGGATTATTAAAAAAAACATTAGTTCCAGAAATCAAACTAAATGTTCTTACGGTACTTTCTTGATTTCTCCATGACTACCCTTCCGGTTTTCTTTCATGTTTTAAAAGTTTCATATGCTTTTTGTACTTTTTCGTATTTGTATTGATATCTAAGTTTCGAACTTTGCTAATTTCAGTTTATTAATATGTTAAAAGGAATGGAAATGACTGTTTTTGGACCATTCGTTTCCTGCAAAAATCAACTTTTGCTAGAGTCGCCATCTAGTGGAGGTGTTTTTTAGTGCTTTCTTTTTTTTTAATACTTCCTCATTGGTATTCTACCCTACTTACCAATCGTTCCAATATTCCTTTAGTTGCAGAATAGCTTGTGTATTATTATTAAAATCTAAATTCTAAATTGCATTCTCCTACTGTATCTCAAGCTTAACTTTGACGCGACAAAAATCGTGTCACTACATCCGAAAATGTCTGCAAAATAACAGCGAAAGCTATCCAGACGCTCTCATAGCTCCATAGGGTCTGGACAGAAGCAAATAACTGGTATAAAGCCAGACTTGCTCGAGTTAGACCAGTAATAAAGACTGAATATGTTAAATTGCACTATCCATCTTCATATTTTTATACTAACTTTCTATCAGTGGCTTTACCCGGGTGGTCCTGTGTGAATTTTTCACTTTATAGAATACGTTGAGTAGCTCGGTGGCGTAGTGGATTAGCGCCGCAGCCCGTGATCGTAGTCGTTAAGCAACTTTCGCAAGGGTCGGTCACGGGATGGGTGACCGAAAAATTATTATCTCGTGCTACTCCGTGCTTCGGAAGACACGTTAAGCCGTTGGTCCCGGCTGCATTTGCAGTCGTTAATACCCTCCAATCCGCATTGGGCCAGCGTGGAGGGTCACGGCCCATCCTCCTTAGCCATCCATAAGGAAGGCCTGAGCCCCTGCAGTGGGGACGTAAAAGGGCTGATGATGATGATGATTAGAATACGTTGCGTAATTTCAATGATCACAGCGTACAGAGCGGGAAGCGACTATATACTATGTTTAGATTCCATAGCCCTAGTATCCCTAGCGGGATAGGCAGATAGGGCCGACCGCCACAAAGTACGGTCCTCGCATACATCTTTCGTTTCATCCACTTTCTCTTTTCATACATACTCGCCGGCTTATGGCTTCTTACGTCACCTTCTTTGATTGATTTGACCGTGAAAGGTGTGTCGTCAACTTCCTCGGCTTCTGCATCCTTCCACTTCCATTCTTTCATGCCTGATTCTGTTGATTTTACACCGATGCTATCTTTGAGGCCAACTCTCTTATCTCTACATTGCGAATAAGGCGCTCCTTAAAAAATTTGAAAGTGGCAAATGATAGTCGTTTCTGCGTTTTGCTTAAGACGCCAGGGGCTATTCTAATTTAAAAGTCTATTCCAATCACTTGCAATCTGACATTTGAAAGATATTCACGGACTTCACGCCACAACTATTTGTTTTGCCATTGCGATTGCAACGTTTTTAAATGATATTAAATGAACAATATCGTTAATTTGGCGTTAATTTGAATTGTTTAAGCAAAACGATAAATGTGTGAAAGCTTTTGAGAAATGTCAAAAGAAAGAGTTAAATGCTAACTGTGATCTTTCGACGGATGTAACTAAGTTTATGTTATGTTTCTTGATTAATGAAATCGTTGTTCGTTTCAGTAGTACTTAAAAGTTATACAATTCCATAGACTATAGATGATAAAAGCCCGCTAGCCCGCTGGTTTCTTTGATTGTACGCTGATTTTTGCACCTTTCATTCAGATTCTCTACAGCTTACACATTCGAGTTGCGTAATTGTAACATGCATGGCACGTACAGTCGAAATGCGCTGGCGCACATCCAACGCCTACAATATGCCGCCGACGAGACTTGTAGTCTGCAATTCTGCATATCACCAAAGGCAGAATTTACCAACAACATGTTTAACTACGTCTTGAATGAAAACTAGTTTTCTTCTAGCAGCTACGCCAGCGTGGTCTTCCTTTATACGTTATAAACCTTCTGTATATTATATAAATACGTTGTGTAATTTAAAAGATCTCAACGTACAGACAGCGGGAAGCGATTTTGTTTCATAGTGCAGCTTTCCGCAGCTAAAAGAACCATTAGTTTCAGGGCCTGTTCAATGTAAACTGATTCAAAATGTTACCTCTTTTTAAAAGTCTTCTTCTCTCTTCCTAAGATGTACTTATGTATCTTTTATTTTCAAGAACAGTAAATAATAGTCTTAATGAGAAACGCTTAAAAATCCACTTGGACTCTGGCACTCTGAGATGGTACTTGGACCCACGGACTTTTGCAATGCGGGCGACTGCTCTTACCACTGAGTTACCTTCTAAATAACGTGTCATATTGTAACTAAGCTCTGATATGAACTTGATAATTAGCATAACTGTTAGGTCGATAGTAATGCGTCAAGTGTCCATGTTTGAATGTCATTTCATATATCGGGTATCTAAAAAGGAAATTTATCTAAAAAAAATTAAAAAAGACTAAGCGGTTTATCAAAAATGTTTTTATTTATTTCTAAATACACTCTTTGGGAATTTATTGCTTAAAAATAATATTGAAATCATTATATTTCATCAATTTTGCATTCATAATGCTATACTGAAAAGTATTGTTAATGGAAAATATTTATTGTATATACGTAGCACCCTGAGATGGGGCTTGGAAACCGGTTTATTTTTTGAACCGGTTCGACGTAAGTACATGCGAAACTTTACACAAAATGTTAAGCTCCTTTGAACAGGTTTTTAAACCGGTTCACCAGAAATACGGCTTTCGTTTTTAACCGGTTTAAATATGACTCCGGAGAATGATCTCACAAACTTCAGCGCGGTTTTTAAGTGCCTACACTCATATCTATGAAATCCGTACGCAGATATGATAAATGTCGTCGCTTAAAAAAGATATAATTCGCATTAAAAGCGTAAGAACATTGCTTTTTACGAACCCAGCGAATTAACCGGTTTTTATTCCATCCGAATTTCACTCCGCATTTAGTTCCGATCCGGAACGGAATATTACAAGAGAACAGGTTTTACCTAAATTAAAATGGTTTATTCGGAACCGGTTTCAAACCCAAGACCCAACAGAACTGACGTATCTTTGGAGCACTTGTTACGTTTTTCCTACTACAGAGCGTATTCTCATCAATGTTCAGGCATTCCACACAAACAGCCAAAAGAATTATATTTACAAATATTGAAAACTTGGATAAAGTGGATTTTTTATGCATTTTCCGTTAATAATATTTTTCAGATAAGCATTCTTAATGCAAAACTGATCAAATATAATACACATTAATAAATTTAAATGAAGAGCTTGTACAATTTTTAAATTCCATTTTATCTACGTCTTTTAATGGGATGTAATATAAAAGGTTTCTGAATGGCCATACAGTTTACTCTTATTTAGAGTTTTTAAATCTAGAACTGTTGTCATTAAGCCATCATCTCACCTCATAAATAAGAATAAGAATATTTATTATTAGACCACAATGAAACAAAATACATGGTCTTCTTACATCTAAGCTTATCATATACTGTACGTATTTAGTTAGACTCTGCTGCTGAATTGAGTTAATACCCGTCTTTCAGCATACAGCGCCTCAAAACCTCGGGTTCTTAGGATTACTACGTATATTTTAAGCAGATAGGTAACACTGAAATTTGTATTTATTACAAACTTTACCTAACCTATAGCGTTATAAATATGAAGACTGTTTTCTGATACCTTCCCAAATTTTAGATGTACATACATAAAAATATATGCTTAAATTAACTCATGTTGTTTGTCGTCAGGCAAGTCGCCGTTTTTCCCCGGTGTGGAGGAAGCAGCGGGACCGGGCGGTGCGGCGGCGGGGTCGCCCGCGGGTCCCGACCAATCACAAGACGTGGTGACGAGACTTAGCGCCGCGGGTGGGTAGATACACGCTTGTTAACTGAATTTCAACACATTTTGTGCAATAGCTTAGACCGTATGGATGGTTAAGGAGGATGGACCGTGAGTTCACGACCCTTCACGCTGGCCCAATGCGCATTGGGGAGTATGAACGACTGCAAATACGGCCGGAAAGAACATTTTAGATAAACTTATTTTATTTATATAAAATTTTAAAAACGAGATTTTGAATTTACTTAAGATCCCAAAAAAAGATTGATTAATATCGATATATCGACCTTGTGAGGTGATATACCGATATCGACTGTAACCGATATATATCGAACTCGATATGAAACTTGCATCTCTAATTATGGATTCTACAATTAAAGTATTAGCTTCATAGGTTTCATGTCTATTAAAAATGTCGAGATCACAATCGCTATAACATGTCAAATAGTTGTAGCGTGAAGTTCGTGAATAACATTCAAATGGCAAAGTTGCGTGGATTGCGATAGGTTCTAAAATTAGAAATGAGGCCTAATTGTCTACTTTTAAAATTATATTCATGAACTCCACCATTCGATTGCGGTCATGACGTTTTTTTTAAACTTATCGGATGAAAGATAACGTCTTTTTGACGTTAATCGGAATATCTTAAAATAATATTGTCTATGACATTTATATCATTCAAATTCAAAAATCAAGTTAATCTTAATTCAAATAGACTTCTTAAAAGTACTTTTGAATCGTCCAACATTTTTTTCCCTACCACTCGTTCAGGACGTCTTTTGGCTGATGAGAAGAACGAGCAAGAAACTCACCAGCTCTAATGGGAGTAATGACATTTACAAAAACCATGTCATTACCAGATCAGTACATTATAAATAGAGATTATTAGTTCAAAAAGCGATTGTGCTTTAAAAATTACACAATTCCATAACTTACTGTCACAATCTCTATACGTCTAAAAGAATGGTAGTATATTATAAAATTAAACAATTACTTGGTCGCCTTAGGCCAGGGCCTGCTGTGTGGCCTTATATTAAATCTTTCACTGCTAGTGATTGATATTGTCTGATGTTACTCTTCCAGGTCTATCGATGTGTGTGAGCGCGCTCGGCTCGCCGGCCAGGTCGTCGCCAGTGTCCGCTGGCTCTGAGCACGGCGAGAGGTTCAGTCGGAAGGTGTTCGTTGGAGGTCTACCGCCCGACATTGATGAAGGTATGTAGGGTAGATGACCCGGTTTTACACCCTTGTCGTAGCGTGTATCATCAGCTGTAAAGGGCCCAACGTTGGATACTGTCGCGAATTGTTTTCCACAAGACGAAGTAACAAAATTCAGTGATGAAGTTGAATGCGTGCAGCCACGTGATATGTATATTCACCTCTTCCCATTTCTATTCCTCTCTCACTCTTTTTTATCTATTAGTCTCTCACTTTGTCCCCACTCTGGTTTCGAATAAAAAAATACTCAAAATAAAATATATTTCTCTTATAAATAGAAGAATTGCACTTTAAAAAAACAAGTGCGAGTCGGACTCGCACAGGAAGAGTTCCGTGATATTATTCATGTGACGAGACCGGCTATATCCCGTCGCATTAGGTTTTCTCAAAACGTTCAAAAATCGAGCGATTAGACTGGGAAAAAATAAGAGAAAAACGATACAATTCATTCAATAAATATAAAAAATAGGTTTGTTGTTTTCTATGGAGTCATTCGAAAATTTCGAGTTAAATACAATTGGTCTACTATTACTCGTAAACTTGTAAAGCCAATTTAAGTGTGATAGTTTTCCTTTTAACTATATTATATAACGGTGCTACTGGTATATCTGACGCGCTCGAGTATGTCCATGCATCAGTTTTTTTTCAAATATTTGATAATCTATAGGCCCTCCTCCCACCGATGGAAGGGTAGGCATTATATGTTATTTATTTTTATCATCTAAGCTTCGGAACCCAATAGGTCTCCATGACGATCGAGTAAATCCCGATATCGTCCGTCGTGGGGGTCCCATGGCATCGCAGCTTGTAAACATACCTGCTTTTCTGACATTTTATCACTGGTATTTTTATTATGTGAGTGGCTTAAAAGGACGAAAGAAATTATAGAGCCGAAAAGACGAAGAGCCTCATTAATTTATGCTATTTAGTTATAATCCAACATACTTGCAAGCTACTGCTGTAGGAAAGGCTTTTTATTGACAGCACAAAAGAATAGATAAGCCTAGTTATCTAAAAGCCGGAGACGACGTATCTCCCCTGCCTAGACTGTCACTGCTTTGTGAGCCGCCAACTGACTGACCTGATTACTTGCAGTGACGTTGCGCGATATAATATCGGGGACAAATGATAATTTTTTTTCTTTTTTGTAAGATTAGAAGATAATTATTTTTGGTTTTAAATAGTATGCCTTCTTTGACGACCTCCGTAGCCGGCTGGCTAGTACGTCGGTTTTAAGATGTCGCTATCTCTGAGTGTAATGGTGTGCTTCTTATGCTTTCACAAGGATATATTTGAGGTCAAGAGAATCAATAGGCTCACCCATTGTAATAAATAAATTATATTTAAGTCTACTTTTACTTCTATCTTCTCCTTCTTCTTAAAGTGCCTCTCTAACTAGTGAAAGATGGCTACCAGATTTTTACAACCCCGCGAGTCGGAGCAGTTCGGCTGTGCTAGCTATTCCTCCTTCCAAAGCTTCTTTTTTCAAGAATTCAAGAATTTTGCCCATCATTAGAAGTCGAAGATCATGACCCAAATAGGAGACTTTTCGTCGTTTAATTGTGGGCACATGGGTATTCTTTTTTGGTCAAGACATTTCAAAACCTCTACGTTGGTCACCCTCTGTGTCCAGTCTACTTATAGCATACGTTTGTTAATTCACATTTCGAAAACTTCTATGCGCTTATAAAGATCTTTTTTAAGCCTCACAGTCATAAAGGACAATAGGCCAGGGGGTCAATTCTACTAAATAAATTTTGTTTCAATCGAATTGAAAATGGATCGAAAGATCTTGGAAATTCCAGCTAAAATAGAACTGGAATTGTATCGTATGCCACTTTGTAGAATAGGAAAACCATTAAAAACTGTAGTTTCGTTCGGTTTCAATCCGTTTTCGATTCGATTTCAACAAAATTTATTTAGTAGAATTGGCCCTCAGATGTAACAATGGAGTAAATAAGTACGTTATGAAATGTTAATGCTACAACTATAGAGTACTTTCTTCGTCGTATTTGGAATCACTACGAGCAATTTCGATTCATCCATTACCATTTGCCTAAGTATTTGTACTTTTGAACCTGTTCTAGATATTGACCTGTAGTACGCTGGAAAACAAATTTGTTTTCTTAGAAACGACCGTAATTTTGTCTTTTTAATGTTCCACTTAAGATATTTATTTCTATATTGCCTTGTGATTAAACGTCATACGACCAATTTGTACAATTATCAATTTTAGCCTTCTCGACTTCTACATCCTTCCACTTCCGCGTTGCACAAATATTAGTTTTATCATTCTCTCGCCTGGCATTCTTTCCACGTATCTGAAGTAACTGATCTCTATCTTATATTTGAACCATATAAATACAAAAATAGAGCAAAGAGCTTATAAATTATTGATATATAATTAATTTGCCCTTGCAATCTTTGCTTTGTTTACGGCCTGGTTGCTAGGCAACTAGGTTGGAGTCTTTCTATTGTGATGTCTTTAAAAAGTTATATTGTCCTTATACGTTTAGATATATACATGGCTGTAAAATTGCACAGATTATTAGTTGTTTATCACGTAAAAAATTGGTTAGCAAGCTTTCTGATAAAAGCTTGAAATTCATGGATTGATCCTCCCTTGATGAGATTATAGAGGATGGAGATTTTAGATTGCAAGCGTTTGGAATCTACAGGATAAATTATCCTAGTAGAATGTTCTAGCCCTAGCTCGATCTGTCCTTAGTATTTGTGTTCAGCTCACTGTTGTAAGGAACTCGCTTCACTCGCTCCTTAATACTGAGATCAATTAGGTAATGCTTTGTGATAGATTTGGAGTCAGTGAAGATCGATCGTCTATCCTTTTGAAGACAGTTATTATAATAGGTTGGGGGAAAAGTTTAAAGGGGAATAATTTCATAACAATTTTTAATAAAATTTGTTCGATAACTTTTTGCCATTTTGTAGGTAAGGACATAGTCCTATTGCTATAGAAATTTTAGGGCTTCTGATTAAAAAGAACGCGACAAGTGGTTTTGGCAAACCTTGCGTAATGAAGAAACTATGAAAAGACCAAAACAGGTAAAAATCTGAAAGTGCAAGATCAGGACTATACGGCAGATGCATTAACACCTCCCAGCCAAACTCTTAGTTTTTGGCTGAGTAGCAAAAGACGTTTGAGCAAAAAATGAAAATAACAAATGAAAATTACACATTTTCCAAATTTGAATTCAGAGTTATCTTCTTTAAAATCTAAACTTTACAATGATACCGAAAACAGCTTGACTACATGCAAATGGTATAATATGAAAGATTTTATTACAAGTTTATGCATACTATATGCGAAAAGACTTTTTCCCCAACCTAATAATATTATGATATATTGTTTCAGACGAGATAACCTCGTCGTTCCGGCGGTTTGGGCCTCTGGTTGTGGACTGGCCGCACAAAGCAGAGAGCAAAAGTTACTTTCCGCCCAAGGGTTACGCGTTTCTACTATTTCAGGTGAGTAATAAATGAAGCCTCGTGCTAAGGCTTGCTTGATAGATATAGCCGGCTACGGGTACAGACATTTACACCAAGTAAGCTCTGGAATGGGGTTGTTTCAATAATTAAATAAGACGGGAAATCTCACATAAAATAAAATTGCTTAATTTTTATATAAAATTAAATTGAAACTCGTTTTTCTGTGTATCACGGAATCATATAACACGAGTCAGCAAGGTGTTACTTCGTATCGGTAAAAGTCGGTTCAAGCACTTATGTTACTTTTTCGCTACTTCAGAGCGTATTTTCATCAGTGTTCAGGTAATACACCCGAACAGACGAAATAAATATTTATACAAATATATAAAACTTTGGTAATTATGAAAATTTGTTCTAATTATTATATTTGGTCCATTTTTGCATTCATAATGCTGTACTGGAAAATATTTCTTAATGAAAAATTCTTAAAAAATCACTTTGTTTCTTGTTTTTTAAGCATTTTCATATCATAATGTAAACATTATAAATAGTTTCTGGTATAGCATTGTGAATGCAAAAAATTACCAAATATAACTATGTATAATGTATTGATCTGATAAAGTGCATGGTATTGTGAATGCCATTACTCCTATTTAGAGCTATAGCTGATGAGTTTCTTGCTCGTTCTTCTTATTAGCCAAAAGATGTCCTGAACGAGCGGTAAAGAAAAATGTTTTAAATCTAAAAAGTACTTTAAGTCTATTTGAATAAAGATTATTTTGACTTTGCGACATCTTTGTGATCGCGCCGTGTAGGACGAGAGCTCTGTGGCTGCCTTGATGGAGGCGTGCATCACCGACGACGACAAGTTGTACTTGTGCGTGTCGTCGCCGACGATCCGCGACAAGCCGGTGCAGATCCGGCCGTGGAAGCTCGCCGACGCGGACTTCGTGCTGGACGCGAGCATGCCCCTGGACCCGCGCAAGACCGTGTTCGTGGGCGGCGTGCCGCGCCCGCTCAAGGCCGGTGAGTCGCTCGCTCGCTAGCTCACCAACTCACTCACTCACGTAGTTAGTTAGTCAGTTAGTGATTTGGTTATTTAGTTAGATGATGTAGGTGTAGGTGTGTAAGTAGAGGGCCACGCGTGCTAAAGACTGGTGAGTCGCTCGCTCACTCACTCACTATCTTAGTTAGTCAGTTAGTGAAATGGTAAGTTAGCTAGGTGATATATGTGTAAGTGTGTAGGTAGAGTGACACGCGTGCTAAAGGCTGGTGAGTCGGTCTGTCAATTAGTTAGGTGGTTAGTTAGATGATGTAGGTAGAGTGTAACACGCGCTGATGACTGGTGAGTCAACCAGTTAGTTGTTTAATTAGTGAGATGGTTAGTTGGTAAGGTGATGTGGGTGTAGGTGTGTAGATAGAGTGCCAGGCACGCTGAAAATTGGCTATTAAGCCTGCTTCAGCTAGTGACATGGTAAGTTGGTTAGGAGTAAGTCAGTCAGTTAATTAGTCAGATGATGCGAGCTATTTAATGAGTAAGTTAGGTAGGTGAAGTAGGTAGATAGGACCGGTTCCTCCTTTTAGGATACTGGACTCGTCCATTCGCGTGAGGTGGACCGCAGCGGGTTTTATCAGGTAGGCCAGTCAGTGTCTGTAGAGCCCTGTTTTAATATGTTCTGAGAGCTGCTGAATTAGTTAGATGATCTGGGTTAGATAATAAATGAGGTTTTATATGATCGAGTACCGCGTCCACTGAAATCTGGTAAGTTAGTAAAATAGTAAGTCAGTTTGTTGTACATGAAGTACTGAAGGCTGGTGAGTTGATGAGTTAGTGAGATAGTAATTTTAGACGATGAAGTGTCATGCCGGCTCTAGACTGATAAGTAATGAAACAATAAGTTTAACCAGCGAAACTTAGGCGGTTATAGTTCAGTTGAAGTTATGACATCCTCCAATCATTTCCAAATGATAACTCGTTGTTATATGCTTAACCGGTACTTAATATATTTGATATGCTTTGTTAAATAAGGAAGTATTTTAAGAAAAAAGAGCACTAAAAAAGCACCTCACTAGATGGCGACTCTAGCAAAAGTTGATTTTTGCAGGAAACGAATGGTCCAAAGATATAGTCATTTCCGTTCCTTTTAACTAACTTAATAAAAAACTGAAATTTACAAAGTTTGTAACTTAGTTTGATTTCAGGACTTATTTTTTTTTATACTGCCTCATTGGTGCAACTAAGCGTTTGTGCAGTACAATGAATTTTCAGGTAGTATAATATAGTTTCTTTGAGCAAAATTATTTTTTTTGTCGAACACTTCTGTTATCAAATATTTTTTTAAACTTATCTTATAAATGGCCTAAAAATTTTGATAATGACAAATTTCAATGCAAACTTTTACGGATAAAAAGTAGCCTTTGACATTTCTCTAGGTTAAGTCTATTTCTATATTAAATTTCATTAAGATGGGTTCAGTCGTTTAGGCGTAGAAGCATAACAACACTTATTCGTCTTACCTTTATTTATCGATTCTTTTGATTCGATATTGTTTGGGAGCGATACTTTTAATACAATACTAGGATCTAGCAAAGTATCGATACTAGAACCAACTTAGAACTATGTATATCGAGTTTGCCAAGGCATATGCAGTGATATTTACCAACTATATTAAATCATCATATAAAATATCGAATTTTATACTTTACCAATAAATATCGTTTATCAATATATTGGAAATTTACAATATCACCGAAATAAATATCGATTTTTTATAAATCGATAATGTTTCCAAGCCTACTCCGCAGGCTCATGAATTTTCCGGATCGTGTACACAGTAGTGCACAAGTGTAAATACGTTTTCCATTACCGCCATCTCGAACCGGAAAGAACCAGTCCAAAATAGAGGAAAGGAAAATTCCGGATCATACAATCCCAGACAGTGCACAGGCTAGCGTTACCTACATATATTCTGATATATCGGACCGGAAAAAAATCTGATTTCCGGACTTGAAAATTCAGTGTAGTGCACGAAAGCTCCAATTGTTAAACGAACCAAGTATAGAGACCTATATAAAACCTAGGCGCTTATTATTTGTTTGTTGCCATTACAGTGGAGCTGGCTATGATAATGGACCGGTTGTACGGCGGCGTCTGTTACGCCGGCATCGACACTGATCCCGAACTGAAGTATCCAAAGGTGGAGTATGGAAATCATTGTAATGTATTCACGGTAGTCGATCTCTTGATTGGTAGATTCTCTTCACGAACCTCACGCTACAAATTAACTACACTAAATTCAGGATTATAACACCCCCCCCCCCCATCCTGTCACATATTTATCTATACAAATTTTACTAAATATTGTTCTAATGTCACAGTTCGTCGATACTCCCCCCCCCCTCCTAAAATGTGACGTGATTTATGGATGACCCCTAATGAATGAACCATATCGCTGTTTTGATGTTAATTGGAATTATCTAATGCAAGTTTTAGATGCTAATATTACTTTATGTTACTAAGTTTTTATTGTTTCATAATCATTCATATCGTCATTCGTTCTGAAAGCGATTGAGATATTAAACCTTTGAAAGAATTATCAGAATCGGATCAGTTTTTCCCAAGATTACCTCGTACATATAAGGAAATTTTATCTCTTTATAATATTAGTATAGGTTTAGTTTCGTACTTTTAATTTCAGCTGACAGATTACAATCGATAATCAGTCAGTTTTCGTGGCTTTTTATAACATTTTTTTACCACGCGATCCATCAGATCAATTGGAGTCTAATCCTCCCTGACATATCTACCTTCAATTAATATTTATACTGTATATAATCCTCTTAGGCTTTCACATCCTTCCACTTTTATGTTGTATACCTATAAGTTTCATTATTTCATCCTTCTACATTGAGTTTAATATTCCTCGACTTCTACAGCTTTCTTTTTTCATGTAATATATATGTTTCATTATTTTTTACTTTCATATTGAGTCTAATCCTCTCAGGCTTCTACATCCTTCCACTTTTTTGTTGTATCTAAATTTCGTCATTCCTTTCTTCCACATTGAGTCTAATCCTCTCAGGCTTCTACATCCTTCCACTTTTACGTTGCAGACAAGTTTCATAACTATATTAACTTTTATACATTTATTACGTACTCTAAAAACTACTTTCAATTTGATTTTGTGCAAAGAAATAATGTTCGAAGAAGCAGAATGCTACATGGAGCATCATTATTAATTCTACGGGTACTGTCGCATTCAAAATATAAATTTAAAAAAACTTTAGCAGACAAATCTTTTTATTTCTTTTATCATAATTATTAAGAAAATTTATAAATATATTTATAGCTTTATAGCCGAGAAAAAATGTATTCAACATACTAATAATATTGTAAAGAGGTAAAAATTGTTTACATCGAATGTACTCTGTAACTACGGACCGATTTAAAAAAAAAATTTCAGCTACATTATAAGTGAGCAGATACAGATGGATTCTACCTGGGTAAATAGAATTCTATTTAGTTCGTCAGTGATATAATAGCTCATACAAAACATGGTAGCTCGGTGGCGTAGCGGATAAGCGCCGCGGCCCGCGATCTTAGTCGTTAAGCAACTTTCGCAAGGGTCGGTCACGGGATGGGTGACCAAAAAATTTGTTTCTCGAGCTACTCCGTGCTTCGGAAGGCACGTTAAGCTGTTGGTCCCGGCTGCATTTGCAGTCGTTAATACCCTCCAATCCGCATTGGGCCAGCGTGGAGGGTCATGGCCCGTCCTTCTTAACCATCCATAAGGAAGGCCTGAGCCCCTGCAGTGGGGACGCAAAAGGGCTGGTGATGATGATATAATAGAAAAATATTAGATACGAATTTTTTACATATTATGTTTTTTTTGTGTTCCTAATTTTGCACATACCTCTATTTCTGGTGATTCGTATAATCTATCTTTAGTAAATAGGTTGCCTGGAATAGATCGGTGTTAATCGATAAGGCCGCCTAGTGTACAATATCTATTTAATTGATTTTTTGTAAAACAAAATCTGCGTTTCCATGATTATGCGAAAAAATAAAAATTTACGTATTTCATATTCTTTGATAATCTACTTGAAAAATGAGCCATTATCTCTCTAATACCGCGGGCGAAGGGGAACGACTAGTTTATCAGCCAGTTGCACAAACGTCCATTAAATTTTTCATTAGTTTGTGACATTACTCATACAAATTTGACATCCATTAGAGCTTAAAGGCGCTATTAAACCCTAATGGACGTTTGTGCAACCGAACATCTATATAATAGATTTTTTGTGCATGTATCCACTAAATGTAAAAAGGTGTAGATATTTCAACTCATGATGAAATATCGAAAATCAAAAATATCAAAAAATAAAAAATTTACGTATTTCATATTCTTTGATAATCTACCTCAAAATAAGCCATAATCTATTACCGCGGGCGAAGTCGCGGGGGAACGATTAGTTTATAGTTTTTTTTTGTAACAGGGCGCGGGCCGAGTGGCGTTCTCCAATCAGCAGTCTTACATCGCGGCCATCTCCGCACGCTTCGTGCAGTTACAACACGGTGACATCGATAAACGCGTAGAGGTAATGTTGACTTGTTTTAAGAAAAAAAAAGCATTTAAAAGCACCTCACTAGATGGCGACTCTAGCAAAAGTTGATTTTTGCAGGAAACGAACGGACCAAAGACGGTCATTTCCGTTCCTTTTAACTAACATATTAAAAAACTGAAATTTGCAAAGTTCGAAACTTAGATATCAATACAAATACGAAAAAAGTACAAATATGAGTTGTTTATTGAGTTTTGAAAATTAATTTACTTTTATACATGAAAGAAAACCGGAAGGGTTGTCATGGAGAAATCAAGAAAGTACCGTAGCGACATCTAGTTTGATTTAGGGAACTGATTTTTTTTTAATACTTCCCCATACACTTTTCACAATATAAAAGTCGTAGCAAACCGGTTAAAACAGTCGTTCAATTGGGCGGGGCTAGCCATTTAATTGAATGGGCCATTCAACTGGATGGACGCCCGATTGGTCGGCTTACTATACCACTTGGATGTGACATAAACATATCTATACCGAGAATAACATTTTTGCACTGATCGTCATCAAACGTGCGCAACGAGGAGTGGGATAGGAAATTGTGGGGGGGGGGGGGGAGAAGAAATGCTTGGTGGGAATGAAATCGAATTGTGGGGCAATAGGGATGATGACTGGGTAAAAAAAATGCAATTCTATTTAGTCCGTCAGTCAGATAATAGAAAAATATTAGATACGTATTTTTTTTTACTTCAATTTAACAAGAAATAGCTTAGATAACAGGCATTAAAGTTGAGGAGTGGGGGCTCGCTACGTCACAGTTGAGTGGAAAACGTACTCTAACGTGACGTCATGCGAAATTTCATCTCAATGTAACGCCATAATTTTTGATTACGAAAAAAAATAAAAATATACGTGTTAATAATTTTTAACACTCTACCTGACGGACAAACAAAAAACAATTTATCTTCATCCCTATTGCGGTTTATTATACATATCTGAAATTTTGTAAGCGAGAAACAGGAAAAGGTCCAGTTGAAAATCAGCGTCAGCGTCACTGACACTGACAAATGCTGAACTAGATGCCTTTTTGACGCAGGCATGGCACACTATTTTTTATTTTTATTTAAGCTTTCTTTCTTCTGTATGTATGTGTTTAATTCTACTGTGTCCTGTATATGTGTTGAATGGATGAATTTGAATTTGCGTGTCCGTTTGCAGGTGAAGCCGTACGTGCTGGACGACCAGATGTGCGACGAGTGCGCGGGCGCGCGCTGCGGCTCCAAGTTCGCGCCGTTCTTCTGCGCCAACGTCACGTGTCTACAGGTGACTGGTGCACTGTACTGTGCCGCGGTGATGGTTGGGTGATGAGGGTGATAACGCGTGGTGATGGTTGGGTGATGAGGGTGATAACGCGTGGTGATGGTTGGGTGATGAATATGGTGGCAGGTTGATGTTGATGGTGGTAGGGTGATGATGATGATGGCGAGGGTGATGATGAGGGCGAGGGTGATGATGATAATGGTGATGACGTTGTTGATGGCCTGCTTATGATGATAACGGTGGCGGTAATGATGATAATGATGATGATGATGATGATGGCGAGGGTGGTGATGATGATGATAATGGTGATGATGATGATGGTGATGACGTTGTTGATGATCTACTTATGATGATGATAGTTGAATGACTAAGACGGTAACAGGGCAATGTTGATGGTGATGGCTAAGATGTTGATGATAGGTTGATGTGAATGGTGTCGGAGATGGGGACGGTGATGGTGCATAAATATTGAACAATGAGACATGTATGGATCGATTGGTCGTGATCCACCACGCGGACCCAGTGCGTATCAGTGGGCGTTAACGACTGCAGATGCATACCCGACCTACTGAAGCACGAGAGATTTTTTTTTTGTTCACCCATCCCATGCTTGCGAATATGTTAAATTAACCTGTGGTGTGTATGCGTTCGTCCCCCAGTACTACTGCGAGCACTGCTGGGCGACGATCCACTCTCGTCCCGGGCGCGAGTTCCACAAGCCCCTGGTGAAGGAGGGCGCCGACCGCCCGCGCGCCGTGCCCTTCCGCTGGTGCTAGTCCGTCTACACTACACTATACACTACGCTAGCGGGGACGCGCGACTGGTCGACGGGGATACACTACCAGTCGCGGGGATGCATTACTGGACGCGAGGGATAGACGACTAGTCGCTGGGATATATAACTAGGCGCGGTGGGCACATTACTAGCGAGGTAATAGATGACTAGTCGCTGGGATATATGACTGGCAGAGGGATAGATGAGTGCTGCTAAAACGAGGCACTTAGTGTTGCTGAGCTGCCGCTAATAATCCTGTATAACTGAGAGCCCTATCGATATTATTTTAATACTGCAGTATTGATATTCAATAGTGAAATCGCTGTCGATAATCTACTAGCGCGGGTACACGACTAGCAGGGGATAGCTGGGTAGTGCCGCTGAGGCACTCGCACTTGTGTTGCTAGATTATCGGTAGTTGATATAAAATCCAGGGGCTACAGTCTCGACTGAGTTTGCGATCGCAATCTCGGTCGCCAACTCATAACAAGATTACTGCAAGTCTCTGCAGTTGAGTGTGTTGTTATTTATATACATACCTCGATCGCTAATTCGACAGATGGACTATCTGTCGAATTAGCGATCGAGTTTGATAAGTCAGTGAAGTTTACGAAGGCTATCAATGTTGACAGTACATGTCCTGTATAATATCAAAAAGCCCGATCTATATTATCTATATACTGCAGTATTGAAAATATCGAAATCACTATTGATAGTGTATTGAATTTCGATGATATCGTTATCGATATTGCGTTGATTATAGTCCAGTCACCTAAAAGAGTATTTCGTTTAATGTCCCGGCACTACATTTATCTCTTTCACTCGTCTGAAAAACATATTGCTATTGCGCTCGTACAGATTCAGCCGATTATGTTATAGTAAAGTTAATCCAAAATGTTATCAGTAGGTAATATACGTAATTTTATTTCTTCGGCGACTGGATTATAATATTTTAACGCAGCTATCGATGATGATACCATCAATAACACCGATATATGTATCGATAAACTATTGAAAGGCAACACTACTCACATTAAAAATACTGTTACACGGGGATAGATGACTAGTCTTCGGGGGATAGGGTAGTGTGAATGGTAGGTAGATAATGATGGGCATAAAAGATTGAAAACACGGGGATAGATTGAGACAGATGACTAGTCTTCGGGGGATAGGGTAGTGTTAATGATAGGTAGACAGTGATGGGCAAAAAGATTGAATGTTACTTACATATTATAATGTGATGAATTTATTTCTATTTACTTAATTTTTAATCAACATTTAATTGTTTTAAAACGGATTGTTTTATATAATGAATTCTTGGATAATTAAAACTTGCAATAAATAACTAAAACAACCAAAATTATATTTATAGAATGTAATTTTTTGCCCATCTTTGTTGAGAAATTGGGGGGCAATTTGGGTAGTAAACACAATTTGAATTACAGACGGGATAGATTTTCTTCAATCAATTTCTAATAAATGTTAAAACTGATTAAAGAAATTTGAACCTACTGTAAATGTTAGGTAACTTCAATCGAATGGAATATAAATGATTTCTTTTTTTAATGTTGAAATTGACGTACAAGCCAAAGAGTAATTTGGTGGGTAGTTGAATAATGGTTAATAACATTATTATATTATTGGCGTAACGTTTCACAAGTCCTAAAACATTTTTTTTTAAAGATGTAACCATAAATGATATTAGTTACTACCTGAAATTATAATGTTACTATCCGATTCATCAGACTTACTTGTACACTATTACTAAACTACCCTTCATGACATACTACTCTATCGAGTTGAATAATGTTTGAAAACTATATTTTTTTTTATTTAAGAATGGATTCTTTTTAATAATATTAGAAAATCAGGTGTTACCAGTTTAAATTAAGTACTACTACTATTTTTTTTAAAAGAGGCAAAATATCTTTAATCGTGTTTTCAAACATTATTCTACTCTGGGTAATTCGTATAACTACCTACTGAATGTATCGAGGTACCTCGATTAGAAAGAAATAATATCCCGATACCATCTGTCTCTTTCTACTTGCTCTTAGTTGACGGGTACAGAAAGGATAAAGCGAAGGAACTTATCTTTTCTTACATGATACCTCTGGCTGAATGCTGAGTACATTAAATGACTCGGTTGATTTTCTTTTTTTGTTTTGGCAACATTTTCTAATATGACACCGTCTGAATGGCGGCGAATATTTAGAAGTATTGCCAGAACGTGGATTCGCCACTTATAATATGGATATGACGTTCCTCTGATTGGTCAACATAAGACGCGATGACGTCGCCGCTGTAATAATAATAATAAAGACAAACAATTAGTAAGCAACATTATCCAATGTTTAAATGTTAAGCGAAATATTATAGAAGTTCAAGTACAATACGTTCATGCTCAAGCTGCTCTCGCATGTACGCACCAGTGTTGCAAGTTTAGTGACGAAATAACTAATTTGGTAGCTTTTATTGCGGGAGTAGTTTGAACTAACAAAATAGACGATCGATTTAAGCAAAACTATTTATCCGATAAATAAAAACTTAGCTAGTTGTCCGTCTGTTCATTGGTAAGCTCTAACTGAATGTGGACGAGTCTGTTTACTGTTAATAATTTGACAGTAGCGGCTGTATACGCTCACTTAGTAAGATATTAACATAAGACATAAGTGGATTTACTAATTTCTCGATTAAAAATAAATGATTGTACCTGTGTAGCTAGAACGAATTTCCTAATGTTATTATGACCACTCGGTTTTTTTACTCAATTCGGATTTTTCTACTTGGATACTGTTGCGGGTTGTTTTGTATCGTTGTCCCGTTCGCACTTGTGGCCGTCGGTATATCGTCAATGGAAAGGGAAAGCTCGTTTTTTGAGAAACGACGACGTCTTTCCGCTTACGATATTTCTCTTGTTTCTGCGACGGGGTGACTGCTTCGTGTGGTTTTGTTCCTAAGCGTTGATGGTAGATTCTGATGAAGAAGGAAAGGGAGGCGGTAGGGATGGTTTTAGTACAAAAAGCGTTACCAATGCGGCTGTAGTGTGGCAACACTTTTCACTTATTTAGCGTGCGTTTTATTTTCGTTTTAATTATTAAAAAAATCGCCGGGGTAGTGCAATAGATGATAGTCTAGTGTCTATAGTCTAATATATTAACCAAAAACTTTATTGTATATAAATGATTGATAGTTGCGAACACGATTTTTCGCTCACGTACTAAAGTGTCTCACCCTTTGAAGTATTCGAACACAATTGGATTTTTTCTAAATGTTTTTTCGGTGTTGTATAAGAAATGGGTGTTTTCGGACATCGGGATGTTTTTTATTAGATTTTCATAAAAATTGGTTCCGGATTAAGAATGAATAAAGCATTCAAATGCATTGGTAGTTTTTCGTCAATAATTTTTTGCAATGGCAATTCCAATCAAAAGTCGGCAATCTTTAGTTTCAAATTGTATGGTATTATATAGTATTTTGACTTTTTTCATTAGCTCTGATAAATAAACGTAATTCTAATTCTCTAAGCTCCTTTTCTTAGCAATAATAATCGATGACACTCTTGTTAAAGCAATTACTTTCAACACTCGCTGTATCATGATCTTTTTTAAGGGTTGAATTTGGAAAAGGAAAAGAATTCTCTAAACGTAAGCAAATTCTGTTTCCGTTTAAAGCAGCAACTGATTTGGTGATGTACTTAAAAATGTGTGATTCTGGATACACGCTGTTTAGACATCGTATCCCATCGACCACAGACGTCGCATAGACTGTAGTAAAAAGACTTGCGCGATTTTTGATAAGTTTATTCATGATTTAGAAGCGGTTTTTTCGTGTTGTGTGAAACTTTTCGAAATTTTAAATGAGGCTTGATAGTGCCTTGGTGTATGGGCCAGTCTGCTGGTGTACCCCTCCCGGTGTTGGCGGCTTAGAGCCTTTGTTGGTCTCTGATGCGTTTGTTCACACACCCACTTGGCGCCAATGTTTGTCTAACGTTTGACGTGCACTTGACAAGTTTGGTACTCGTTTTGTGTCTTGTGCAACAGGATTATTTATTGAAACCAATGGTGGTCTGATCCGGACCCCGCGATCGAGTTTGAAATTATAAAACCGATCTTAGAATGTGTTCTATTTTTTGAAATCGACGATTCAACACTCGGTGTATGAGCCGTCGTCGACCCTTTTCGACTTTCCTAAGCGTTAAGTAGGTACAATTAGTGAAATTACTACTAGTAGAGAACATTTTAGTGAAATTGTTTGCCATACAATATTGACAGGTGGCGTCGTATGAACTTTTCATATTATGTATAGAAAAAGAAACAATTTGGGAAACACGAATGTTCAAGTATTACGCAATTAATAGTAGACAAATATTTGAAAATAATTATATTTTCATAGATTTTAGATATTATAATTATAATTATATGTATGTTAGTAACATGAAAAGTTTGAACAACGCCAGTAAAATACAGATGCACACGGTGTCGTGCAATATCTCTATAGTTATAGTAAAATATTTTCAGTATAATAGCGAATAATTATAAAATTGCGATATCGTGGTTTTTTCCTCTTCAAAAATTAGTAATTTATAGGAGATGATTTTCTACACCGCGCCTCTGAATCGCCCTCGATACACTTTCGTCACTGATTGGACTTTTGACTTTTGGCACCCACAATAATGATCCCTTTTCATAAATTCCTTTAATTTTTAAATAGTTTTAAATATTTTTACGATGAATATTTTGAATTTGGTAGTTTATTAAGAATATTTGGTAGTTTTTTCAAATCGGTTTTGTTGCAACACTGCTGTTTGTTAAAATTTACCCTTTGCGATTGTTTTTTTGCCCAAATTCCGTTTTTTTTTTTGGTAATGTGTTTATTTTTGTTAGATTGTTTCGTTTGTAAAACTGTTTGTGTGCAGTTGATTTCCTTGATTTGATGGTTCTTTTCTATGAAATTGCTCAATGTATTTTGAAAAATTGTTTTGTGCTCCCTTACCCTTGGCGTGACGAGGCGGGAATCGTGAATGGATGTGTCGTGTGTGCTCGCATTGTCCCATTTTGTATTTTTGTATTTTTATAAAAATTGACAATTGTGAATTCGGAAGTGTTTTTTTTTTTTTGTTTATTTGCGCGCAACGTTGTAGTGAACGCTTGAGTGACTATTTTACTTTTTTTAAGAATTCTTGTAGAATGAACTTGCGAATCTTCGAGACGAGTATTTTAACTAAAAATACATAAAGAGAT